CATAGAACCTGCTATAAACACGTTTGTATAAGATTACATTGATGCTGATTAGTTGTGGTATTTTTGGTATCATACTGTTCGTACTTGCAAAGTTTGCATTTTTTTTCAATTTGAGATCTCAGATTACATTGATGCTGATTAGTTGTGGTATTTTTGGTTGTCAGGGAAAGTGAAGGCACCTTTCAGTATGGTAACTATCGGCGAGAGGCTGATCACGCTATCTTACCAAGACCCGATGAAATTACGATATGCATGTCGTTTCTGTTAAAAAAAAATTTCGCGCTGCGCGCGCTATCCTTGTTGACCCCCCAAACATTATTTCCTGGATCCGCCACTGCATAGGATGTACATGAATGGTTGAGATTAAAAGGTTGGTAAGATTAGGAGAAAAGCCGAATATGCTGGAAAATAGTATCAAAAGCAGTTTGCAGTTTTCTAAAGTCCCATGATATCTGTTTCGTGTCAAACTTTTGTTTGGGTAAGCTGTGGTTGTCTAGCATCTTGAAAATAACCCAATTTGTAAGCATGCATCTTGACTTCAATGTAGGTGGGTGATTTCCACACTCTTTATTTCTAGCCATCAGACTACATATATAAAACAAAAATAATAAACATAATTAAATATTAGTGTGTGAGATGCTAAAAATGGTGTGTATTTATCATTTTTCTAAACAAAAATAAAAAACTGACTAGGAAAGCATTAGTGGAATTCCTTGACTAAGAGGATTGGCTAGTGTGGAGATAAGATGGATATCAACATCTATCATAATCCCACTAGTTTTCTTCACACTCTTTTCTCAGCAAATTCTTGCATGTGTCATAACTCTGGTGACAGCCAAGTCTTTCTCTATTCTTACATCTGCTAACGCAAGTTTTATATAGAAAAAGAGTTTGAACTTTGAAGCGTTTTATTTTCTTAAACACTCAAGAAAAAAAAAGATCGGTTTTGTAAGTAAATCATTTTTTTTAGATAATCTAGCATATTTATGTTGTAACGTTGTCAACTAAAACATTGTGCGCACTTAAATGTTTGATCCAGCATGCCAAGCCTACAAAACTATTACTTTAATTTTGTACATTGCAAAATAGTAACTTTGATATTATCTTTCTAAATAGTTTTGTATCTAATTCCAACTTTCATTAGTGGAAGAAAAAATAAACCCCAATAATTCTCCTAGTGTTGGAAAATTTCCTGCACGGGTTGCTTTTTAAGTCAGCCATTAACGAGCTAGTGCTTTTGGAAAATATTTTCTGCGCCACTCTTTGTCAATTAATCTAGCCTGCCTTCCCTGTCGCATTAATCAAGGGTGCATGTGCTTATAAGAATTTGGGCTATTCTCTATGTTGCAAATTGATTTTATGTTGAAATCTCAACTTGCTTCAATAACCACCTAGCTTCATAAACACCCAAGAAAAGAAAAAAAAAGATCAATTTTGTAAGTAAATTATCTGGTTTTTAGATAGTCTAGAATGATATGTTGTCACGTTGTCAAACTAAAACATTGATTGTTCGCACTTAAATGTTTGATCCAGTATGCCAAGCCTACAAAACATTACTTTAATTTTGTACATTGCAAAATAGTAACTTTGATATTATCTTTCTAAATAGTTTTGTATCTAATTCCAACTTTCATTAGTGGAAGAAAAAATAAACCCCAATAATTCTCCTAGTGTTGGAAAATTTCCTGCACGGGTTGCTTTTTAAGTCAGCCATTAATGAGCTAGTGCTTTTGGAAAATATTTTCTGCGCCACTCTTTGTCAATTAATCCGACCAGCCTTCCTTGTCGCATTAATCAAGGGTGCATGTGCTTAAAAGAATTTGGGCTATTTTCTTTGTTGTTAATTGATTTTATGATGGGATCTCAACTTGCTTCAAAAACCACCCGGCTTCATAAACACTAGGGGTGGGTTCAAAACCGAACCGAAAACCAAACCGAACCGAGGCCGAAAAAAACCGAACCGAAAAAAAATCGAACTGAAATTGCCAAACTGAACCGAACCGAATCTGGTTGGTTCGGTTTCGGTTTTTGAGGTCCGGAAACCGAACCGAACCGAAAAAAAAAATCATATATAAATACTAAAAAAACATGTTGGCCGCGTCAAGGTTTGTACCCCTGACCTGCGAGTTGGGGTAAAGTGCTGCTAGCCAACTTAACTGTAGGCTTTGTGTTGTTGTAATCGTACCAGTAATATATTTATAGGTTTCTTATGTTTAATGCTTTATAAAATTTCTTAACTTTACAAACCCTAGCCGTCTCACTCCCATTTCATTTCAGATCTCAAACACTTCTTCCATCCGCTGCTTCCTCAGTCTCTCTCTTTCCCTCTCCCTCTCCTTCCTCTCTTCCTCCAAATCACTTTCTCTCTAGTCTTCTCATGTCCTCCTCACGGATTCCTTCTTCCAAATCATGATTTTCCCTCGCCCCTTTCGAGACTCGACGAAAAGAGGAACTGTTAGAGCTTGCGATGATCATGGCGATTTCGCTGCAGCAAAGGTTGTGGGTTTTATTTATTTGTCAGTTCATGGGTTTTTAATTTTATGATCATGGCGATTTTATGGTTACCCACTTGAAATTTATGTAATTTAAGGTGAAAAAGTTTGTATTTTTCTTTTAATATGTTTCGGAATTTTCTAGATCTATTGTGGACTTGACTAGGAATTTGAATGTGGGCACTGGGCATGCGATATTGGAGTCCGATTATGACATTTAGACGAACCTATTTGCTTTTTTTTTGTTTCGATCTGCATCTTAATTTGTTGAATTATTTCATGATTTTGTAAATTTTAAATTTTTAGAATTTTGAATCCTGGCGATGTACTTGAAGAATATATGTTTCTGTATTTGCTTAAGTTTTGAAAATTTGAACTCGATCTGCTTGATCATAAGTAGTTGAATTACTTGAATATATTCGGGATTTTGAGGTGAGAAAATGTATATGTTTGGTTAGTGAGAAAATGCATGAAGGTGAAAGGTTAGTACCTAAAATTGTTGAGTTCAAGTTTTCGGTTTGTTGTAAAGTTTTAGCAAAGACCCATTGGGATTTTCATATGGTTCTTCCTCTGTGTAGTCTTAAAAAGGGAATTAAATTCTTTTGCGTCTCTTATTTTGTTTATGATGGAATAGTTGTATGATTTGTACTTTTGGAGAAGAAAAAATTGGGAAGAGGCTAGAAAAGTCTTAACTAAAGGATTAGAGATTTGTGATGTAGAAGAGGTAATGGAAGACGATGATGGGCGGAGCAGGCTCCATTGATATATGAGAACTGGGAGATTTATTCCTTCCATTTACATCATTGAAAAAAAAAAAACCGAAAAAAACCGAAACCGAAAAAAAATGGACCGAACGGAACCAAACTGAAATTTCGGTTCGGTTTCGGTTTTGGCAAAAAACCGAACCATTTTGAACCGAACCCAGCCCTAATAAACACCCAAGAAAAAAAAAAGGGATCGATTTTGTAAGTAAATCATCTGTTTTTTAGATAGTCTAGTATGTTATATTGTCAAGTTGTCAAACTAAAACAGTGATTGTGCGCACTTAAATGTTTGATCCAGTATGCCAAGCCTACAAAACATTACTTTAATTTTGTACATTGCAAAATAGTAACTTTGATATTGTCTTTCTAAATAGTTTTGTATCTAATTCCAACTTTCATTGGTGGAAGAAAAAATAAACCCCAATAGTTCTCTTAGGGTGCGTTTGTTGCATCGGACTGTCTCGAACTAGACTAGTTGTAAGGACTAAGCTGGACTGGCTTAGACTAGACTAAACTGGACTAGCTTAGTGAAACGTTTGGTGCAGTGTCGGACTAAAGTGACAGATTAAATATTTTGCTATTTTTTATTCACTTCTATAATTTTTTAATTTCAGTTTTATAATCTTTTTATCTCATTGCATTCACAAAAGCTATTCTCTGCTCTTCTTCTTCACTGATATTAACCTTTTATTTTCTCTGCTTCCAAAAATCCCAACCACCGTCTCCAATCTCTTCAATGGAATCCAATCATCTAGTGCGATTCAATCGCAAAAGCCCCAATCTCTTCAAGATGTGTTAGTAATTTGTTTGTAGATGTTCTACAGGATAACTATAGTCAATTTCGAGACAAGATTCAAACTAGGAATAGTTGTTGATAGAGCACAACTAAACATCATTTTGAAGTGATCAATTCAATTCCAAACACCCCAATCTCTTGAAGCTGAACATCTTCTTGACGTGTTGGGCTGCGATTTCTGTTTGTTCATATTTCAAATTTCAATTTGGGGATCTAGGGTTTTTGGGTTTTTTCTCAACATATTGGAAATCGGCGGGCAAGAAAATTTCCAGCACGAGGCGTTGGCGAGGTGTTGGAGTTGGCGACGAGGTCGATTTGGGCGACGGGGCGCGCATTAGTTGATGATGCCGAAGACAGGATTATAGGGGGTCCTAGCAATCCCATGGTGGAGCACGGGATTCGTAGTGATGCGTTAGCGAGGGCCGTAGTCTCATTTACTTTAATCCCAACCTGCGCCAAACATGTCCCAAGTCCCAGTTAAGCCAATCACCCTTAATAATATCAAACAAACACACCCTTAGTGTTGGAAAATTTCTTGCCCGGGTTGATTTTTAAGTCAACCATTAACGAGGTAGTGCTTTTGGAAAGCATTTTCTGCACCACTCTTCTTCAATTAATCCGGCTAGCTTTCCCTGTCGCATTAATCAAGGGTGCATGTGCTAATAAGAATTTGGGCAATTGCCAACGATGCTAATTGATATTATGATGGAATCTCAACTTGCTTCAATAATCACCCGGCTTCATTAGCAACTTCATTAGCCTACCCGGGACAGAACTCACTAAATCTGCTCTTCCTATCTTCCCCAAACTGAGTTATCACAATGTATGTAGCTATGTCTGTGGAGAAAACCTCATTGAAGTAGAGCCCTCCATGCAAAAAAAATCTCATCATGGAAATGCATATAAGTATAGCTCAACAATACGAAGTAGTAAATGGATTGAAGTTCGTCAGAAAGGTCATCAACTATACAGTTTTTATTTATCAAGCAAATATGAGAACTTCGACTTCCACATAAGGAAACAAGATTATTACGTACATGCTAATACTTAACAGTGCGCTTATTCTAATCCAACATTTTATCTGCTCGAAGTCTGTTTCTGATCTGACACATCTCAGCCACAACATCAACGATGCCCGATCTTTCCCCATACATGTCTGCGGGGCATGCAACACCAACTCCTAAGACTGAAATCAAGCTCTCTTCAATTTTCCTGCGAATTGTTGTGCTAGCCGCAGTTAGATGCTGGTTTGCACTCAGCTCCCCTCCCCTTTTTCTTGAATAAGAACCGGATCTACAATATCTAACACCAGCTCAGGCAGAGCTGCCTTGACATAGTTGTGAAGATTTGAAAATCCTTGAAACATGTCACCAGTTGGCCTTTTTCCCGTAAACATTTCCAGCAGGAGGATGCCGTAACTATACACGTCACCTTGTGGCCACACTTCATGCCCCATGCCATACTCTACATTTGTGCAAATGTTTTTATTTTAATACATAAAAAAATCTAAATTATAAATGAATACTGAAAAAAGTGAAAAGAAAGTGTACGTTTTACCTAGAGGAGTATAACCGATTGTTCCTTTAACTCCGATGGAGCTTGACTGATTACCAAAACCATCTTCAAGAGTTCTTGGAAGGAATCTCGCCAACCCAAAGTCACCTACATGTCCAATCATATCATAGTCAAGAAGAACATTGTTGGGTTTGAGGTTACAATGAACTATTGGCATGTGACACTGATAATGGAGATGATCCAATGCCATTGCAACTTCTATCGCAATGTTCAACCTCTGCGAAAAAGTTAAGCTTCTTGGCATCTGATTCATATCAATACTTGTCTGAGCTGGATGCAACCATTCATCTAAGCTCCCATTCACCATGAACTCGTAAATTAAGGCCTTGAAATCAGAACCACAATAGTCGAATCCAAAGCATGCCGAAACTACCTTCACAAGGTTACGGTGTCTAATATTTTTCAGAGCCTCACACTCAGCAATGAAACTTTTGGAAGCTCCGTGTCGATCAAGGTTGAGTACCTTGATAGCAATTGTTGTTTCACCTTGATCAAGTAATCCTTTATAAACTGACCCAAAACTTCCCATACCAATCAAATTGGCAGAAGAGAATCCATCAGTCGCTTTAAGAAGACTTTGGTAAGACACCTTTGGAAATTTTTCAGAATCACTCGAAGGATCCTCCTTTTTTTTACTCCGGAAGCAACAAGGGTACAAAACGGCAAATGAAAAAAAGGCTCCAGAAAGCCCACAAAGGAGAGAAATTACTAGTTTCAAGGTTAGGCTCAACCCCCTTTTGCTGGAATGTTGAAATTCGCATTTTGGCAATTGAAACTCTGGTATGCCCCCACAGAGCTTTGTATTCCCTTGGACTAATGTGGCAGTTGCATTCCGAAAAACTCCTTCGATAGGTACTGCTCCCTCTAAATTGTTATAAGACAGATTCAAGGATTGCAAAAATGTAAAATTCTCCAAGAATTTCATAATTGTCCCTGACAAGTTGTTGTGAGCGAGAGATAAGGTTTCAATACCTCTTAGTGAGCTCAAATCAGATGGAATTGTCCCTTGGAAGAAGTTTTCTTGCAAGTCAAGATAGTGTATGGTTTTACAACTTCCAAGACTTGGAGGAATTTCACCAGACAACAGGTTTCCAGAAACGTCAAAATGCTCTAGATTTATCAATTGTCTGACTTCCATGGGAAGAAAGCCAATCAAATGATTTCGAGATAAATCCAAATAAACATATGAAGAAGACATATGAATTAATTCTGGGGATAAATCAAATTTCCAACATGTGGCGATATAGAGCCTCCAAGCTTCAAGGACCTCAGCGTCAACATTGTGATCCTCTCGTGGCGGTGACCACAGGTAACACCGTGCCATTGGCAAAAGTGGATTGTTTCGTTCCACGAACTCATGACTCCAAAAGGGTCTGTAGTTATCCTAGCCTTCAATTCAAGCAACGCCAGTTTTCTGTCCCGTTTGATCTGGCGAGGGCCAAACTAAGACATGAGTTAAGAACAAAGGCATGCATGCACAAATATGAGAAGAAGAAAAGTGGTGAAATGAACTTTTGATTCCCCATGGTATCAGTTTTGTGTGAAACTTTGGTTTGGGTAAGCTGCGGTAGTCTAGCAGCTTGAGCAGAACTCAATTTATAGGAATTCTTGTGACGTAAATATAGGGAGGCGATTCACCCTTTATTTATAGTCATAAGATTGAATAAATCAAACGAAAACAATATACATGATTACGACAAGGCTATAGATAAGAAGCATTGTAGTTTTACTTGGGTTGGGTTAGAAAACAGAGAAAGAAACAAAGTGAGAATCCAAGGCACGCTCTTCTTAATGGAAATAGTGAAAGCAGGATGCATTAACATAAGGGAAGAAAACTAATACACAGTAGTAACATTATCATTCAAATTTTTGCATAAATCACTACCAGAATCAAATAATCTACCTTCTTGCTTAACAAAGCTCAATTATATTTCTGAGTTTTGGAAGAAAAACAAATATTCTTGTTACGCTACATTCTAACCGTTTAGTAGGTACTGACCTGGAGTTTCACCTCTAGCAATTTGAATTACCCTGAGAAATGACCGAAGCTGAGCATGACATGATTATAGGTCAAAAAGGCACCTCAACACACAACTACACTTTTGGCCTTCAAATTTTCATTTACATTTATGAGCCGAAAGTCATAGAAGGTTGAACTACAGTTGAATTGAAGTGTACAAATTCTTATCAAGGTCAGTCATCCTTATTGCGCACCATGGATGCCTTCTGGTACCTCATTTTCTCAATCTCCTTGCCCAGAAAATCTAAAGTCGTGTCAGTAACATGGTTCGGGGTGCAGCCTGCATCGAGCATCATTTTCAAAAACTTATATGCATCTTTTAGCCGACCTGCTTTGCTATGAACTTCAATAAGTGTATTAAAAGTGACAACATCAGGATTTATTCCACTACTCTTCATCTGCTCAAAGAGCTTGTTTACTTCATCAATCCTGCTAGCCTTGCCTAGTGCATTAATCAAGGTGTTGTACATAACCACGTCAAGATAACCACCCTGCTCAATTAGCTTATCCAGGACAGAACTCGCTAGATCCGCTCTACCCATCTTCCCCAAGCCTTGAATTATCACATTGTATGTAGCTATGTCTGTGGGGCAGACCCTTTCTCCCATCATTGAGTACACCCCATGCCTCATTGAAGTAGCCCTTCTTGACGAACGAACTCATCGTGGAATTATAAGTATAACTCACAGGATTTTCACCAAGATCACTGAAAATCTCAAACAATTTGCATGCTATGCTCAGCTTTCCCTTGGCCAAGAATAAGGACAAAAAGGTATTAACCATGTCAATATCAAAAGTGTTTTCCCCTTTTGCTTGAACTCTTTGCCCCCTGGACAATGAAAACAGCTGCGAGGAGTGGTCGGTGGACTTAAGTTGATTAGCCAATTGATCCATATGTGGAGATGATGACCACTGACCAGTATCGGTGGACAAATTCTTATCATCTTCTTTAACCCTGGCAGCCTCTGAATCTAGGTCTGCATCCATTGTTGATTCAGCAGACTTTATTAAACTCATAATCTCGCTCAAGTCGCCTTTACTTGGGAACAAAGGAGTATAATCCTTTCTATTTCTCTGCGGATTTTTCAGCGAAGCCTCCATATCAACCTTCCATTTAAGAACACTCGGCACTAGGTTACCATCTCTAATGTGCTTCATGAGCTTGTCCGTCCAATCCCACCGTCCTTCTTTATACAGCCCAATCACAAGTGACGAAATAGTAACTAAATCAACAGTAAAGCCTCTCCTTTCCATTTCTTCCACCAATCCTAGTGCTTCCTCAAGCAGGCCCTCCTTACAAAGTTGCAAAACCACAATGCTATATGTTACACCATCGACAAACTGACCCTTCTTCTTTAAGTCACAAAATAGTGTATATGCAGCCTCTGCCCTTCCATTCCTGAACAAACCATCAATGAGAATATTATACGTCCATGTTGAGGCTCTCACCCCATTCTGAACCATTTTCTCAAATAACTGGCAGCCATCATTAACCTTCCTGGCCTTGAATAACCCATCTAGTAAAGAATTATAAACAATGGTATCAGGGACATATCCATTGAGCTGCATTTCACTAAAAATCTTAGTGGCATCGTCTATTCGATAACACCTACAACACCCCTGAATAAGAATTCTATAGGTAATTGCATCCGGCTCATGGCCGGAGCCCTTCAATTCCTCCCATACAATAAGTGCATCATTCATTTTCCCCACCAAGCAGAGCACATGAATGAGGCTATTATATGTAGACAAATCCGGCCCAACGTTATCCAAGTTAGAGTCTTTCATCTCTCTGAACAGACTCAGACTAGTACCCAAATCACCCCAACACCCAAATGCATGAATGCAAATATTATAACCCCAAGTATCCATCTCAAACCCCTCACTCTCTCTAAGCTTATTAAAAACTTGCTTAAACCCAACCCTCATGTCAGATTTTCTAAGAGCAACCAGCAACGTTGCAGGCAATCGAATTCGGCACCTGGGTCGAATCCCCTGCCTCCAGAAGCTTAAACAAAATGGCCATGGCCAAACCCACCTGGTTTTTCCTAACCAGAGCAACAAGAACCAAGTTATACATATCGGTGTTCAACCCAGCACCAACATCTTCCATAATATCCAAAATTTCAAGCGCGTAATCGAACTTACCGGACCGGATAAACGCGTCGAGCAGGGCTTTGAAGGTCTGGGAATCGACCACGACGCCGTCCTCCTTCATGGAGCGAAGCAATTGAGGGACCTCGTGAAGGAATCCCGCGCGGGAGGCGGTGCGGAGGATGTGGGAGTAGGCGCGCGCCGAGTGTTTGATGTTATGCGTGAGAGAGCACCATTTGAAGAAGTCGAGTTTTTTGGAGGGGTGGAGGGACTGGGCGCGGAGGATTTGGAAGAGGAGGGGCTCGGAGAGCGGAAGGGTGTGGGGGTCCGGAAGGTTGCGGGTGCCGGAGGTTGAGAGGGTCTTGGTGATGGCGGCCTCCAGGAGTATGTCTCCCAGCTGGGAGGCGCCGTGGTGGTGGTGGTCTTTGACCAGGAAAGGCCTTCCATGGCGCATTGCATATCCAAAAACACACAGATTCTGAGATTTGAAGTTCACAACTGAGAAGCAGATGCAGAAAGATTAACTGTTTGAGAGGATTCACTTGGAGTTGGGCTTGCACTTGGTTGGACACACCTTTTCTCCTTGTTAGCCAGGCCCAGATTGTTGTTTGGGCCTCTCCTCCCATTTCACCCAATATAATCCGAGTGCGGATTAATTCATCCCGCTATCTTATTTTCCCACCCGCCTTTAATAAAAAGTTAAGTACTAATTTTAACCTCATATAAAATGACGTATAAAAACCAATGTAAAAAAATGACTTGTATCAATTTTACTCACCGTCTTATTTCTGCATCCTCTCTCACATCAAATTTGTATTGTTATGAATTATTTCTGATTTTATTTTGGTAATCGATTTTTAATTATTAGTCACAGTGGATCTTATATCAATGTCACTGTTTTGTAATAAAAAGTTGCAAATTTTCACATTCAATCAACAAAACCTTTGGGGTAGGTTTTAATTTTTGGTTTGGTACAGTGCATTTGATTATGGTGTGGGATTTTTTTGAGTGGTGTAGATGCAGATGAAGGAGTGGGTATTTTGGGTCTGTCAAAATGAAATTGCGTTTGGTGTTTGTTGTCGTAAGAACGAATTGTGCGGCTGCGTATTCGTTGTAGGTTTAGGTGTCATCATGTGGGGGAGACTGGATTTCTATGTGCATACATGGGTGATTTATTAATAATTTGATTTAGCTATTTAGGTTGTTTGGGTTTGATTTCGTGAGCTTCTTGAGGTTGTTGCTTTGTGTGTGTGTGTGTGGTGTGTATTTTGTGTTCTTTGACATGGAGGTGGTCAAAGAGCAGACAAGGGAGACTGACAGAGAAGAGGAGAAGGAGGGGTGGTTGTGGGTAGGGATCAGTGTAGGTTCTGGAGTAAGACGCAAACGGAGGGTGAAGGAAAGGAGTTCAATAGAGAACGAGTTTGTTTATCCCTCGTTTCAATCATATTTTTGGAATTTTGATCCGAATAAAAATCGGAAAGAAAGATCTTGGCGGTTAGTAAAGGCTTAGCTGGGTTTATGATCACTCTAATATTTATTCTTCTAAAGAAATTAAATATATATTAGAGGTTATTTTTTTTTTTAAATAGTGAGTGAAAAAATAACATTTTGTTGTAACATATGTTCTTATCGATATGTGATTGTGTAAATCCTAAGTGGAGATATAATAGGAATCCTTTGTGATCTAGAAGATCTTCTTTCCTAATAGACTTTGTATTACTTGAATAACAAGTTTCTCTCCTTCTTATTACAATGAATAAAGGCACAAAAACTAGGGAATTAACATAATTCCTCAAGCCTATTCTCCAATCTATTTCTCATCCCCTTGCCTCACCTCTCTATTAAATATAGGTCACAACACATTTTAAGTTTTAACTTTTTTGTGGTGGGTGAGATTATAATGTCGGTGGGGAGATAAAATAATGGGGTGGGCCTAGTAGCACTGTATAATCCAAGGGATGTTTATTTACACACCCTTTCATTTATTTCTTTGTTAGTTATTTATTTATTATTTTTTGGGTGTGCTATTCACACATCTCATTTTACTTCTCACACACCCATTGATAATTTATGTCTATTGATCTTCTTTAATTCATCTGACGACCAAAAATTAAAAAGGTGTGTGAGAAGTAAAATTCCACACACCCCTTATTTTATTTTTTATTTTTTTTTGACAAAACGAGGCTAAAAGTAAGAGTCTAAACTTCAAATGGTAGCTAATGTGCCATCATATCAGCCACCAGTGCTTTTCGGAAAGATGCTCATTGATGCAGTATTGTTTCGACCACATTAATCTCCCATAAATTATTCAAAAGAAAAGATAAAGGTAAAGTGGCAAGGACCAAGAAGAATAGTCAATGTTTTGTTTCTTATATGTAAAAAGCTGTACTTTTTTTAACTAACGTTACATTACAAAATCGTATAAACGTGAAGAAAATCTTATCATAGATATGTTCGTTAATATGAATTTGTATTCTCCAATTTTAATATAGAATGACTCTCCTCTGCCGATTGCTTGTGCAGCTTTGCTTTCAAACTATATTAGCTTGCCTGGCTACTACTTTTCCAATTAATGTTCATCTCGGCATCTAAGCTTATCTCACTTTTTTTCCTACCTAACTTTATGGTATTGTTCAACTTGTTTTGCAGGTTTGAACCATTAGGTTTGGTTTTAGAGGTTTCATGTATATCCCCCCTCTTTGTAGCATTCTTGTTTTTGTTTCTAAAAGATTAAGGTTTATTTTCCTCCTAACTAGGTGTAACTTTATTTTCATTATCATAAAATTTCCCTCGTACCAAGGTTTCTCCCAAAAAAAAATTGTAATATTATCATAATAAAGTGTCAATTTGTTTGATTCTTACACTGTGTTTGGATGATGAAAATAAACTTGGAATTTGAATTAAAATCAGAATTTATAATTGACATGCACCAATTCCCTTGTTTGGATTCATAAACATAGAAATTTAGAATTTCTGCGTGGAAAAACAACTTGGAATTTGGGACCTCCAATTCCCAAGTTTAAATTCCATCTAAATATGTGTCATTTCCCAATTTCTATGATTGAGAGTTTAAAAATAACAAATTCCGAATTTAATTCCATTGTTCTTTTAGGTTAACCAAACAAGAAAATTCATAAATTCTAGAAAATAAAATCTCGTCATTTCAATTTCTGTCATTTTAAAATTTCATAGTAATCTTAAGTTGCTTCATCCAAACATAGTGTTATGGATTACTAAATGACTTTCAAATCAAATGAATATTTTTATAAATGATGATAAAGAGAATGAGCGCTTCTCATTATAATATTTGTTATTAAATAATGTCACAAATTAAAAAAGTGTTCAAGAAGAATACTTTTAGTTGTAAAAGAAATATAAATAAAATGAAATGTGGAATTGATATTTATCTGACGTCATAGATAGTGATGCAATAATTGGAGAATAAGCTTGTTAATTGATTCTTTGCTTAACTTTTATGACAAAGTTGTGGAAAAAGGACATCTAAAAGGGATGAAAATATCGTAAAAATTTGCATGTTGATTGCATCAACCTGTGGAAATGATGCCAAGAATTTTAATCATTCATATCCACCCCATATATGTGGGAAGGAAGCTGGTCGCTTCACCTATAAATATATATAGAAGCACAGAGAGAGTCTAATAACTTACTGCATTATGCTTTGAATCAAAATACTTCTATATAATTACGATGGATTGCTGGGGAAAATGGAAGTTTATTATTGTCATGCTGGTCATTAACCTTGCATTGGCTATAGTAAATATCCTGCTTAAGAAGACTCTTGACGGTGGATTGGGTGGTCTGATTATTGTTACTTATCGACAGTCGATTTCTGCTGTTTTCTTAACACCAATTGCTTTCTTTTTGGAAAGGTAAAACCTATATATACTTACGATTCGTTTCTATATGTATCATATTAATTTGCTAGCCGGTCTCAACTCTATGAAAAATATGTCAGTAAATGTGGTATCCGCGATTACTACTAAGCGTATAGTTAGTTTAGTTTTTTATTTTTTATTTTTATTTTTTATTTTTTTTTATTTTTTTTTTTTGCAGAAAAAGTAGAACAGAGCTTACATCTCGAATCTTATGCCACCTTTTCATCAGTGCTCTAATTGGGTTAGTAGTAGTACTTTAAGGTTTCTCTGATTTAGTTTTGTACGTTGTTTCATTTAATGTTATCTTTTATGTGATTTTTTCGGCAAATACTTGTGTCTTTCAGGATAACTTTCACACATTACTTATTTCTTCTTGGACTTCAGTACACCTCTGCAACATATTCCTGTGCATTCATCAACATGGTGCCTGTCAACACTTTCCTCTTGGCTCTACCATTTGGGTAAAGTACAAAGAATAAGTTATTGGTCTGATTAGTTATCTGAAATAGGCATTGGAATAATTCGGACTTCTTATCTTCTCTACGTTTTATAAGGCCATCTCTAACCGAGGGCTGGCCAGAGCGCTCGTTTTAGCCCTCTGGCCCTCCAAGATTCTCCAAGATATTAATATTTTAATGAACAATACAGGGTCATATTTGCCTCCGTTTCCAACCGAGGGCCAGAGGGCTCGTTTTAGCCCTATCACAAAAAACCATCTCCAACCGAGGGCCAAAGGGCCATAGGGCCAAACATAATTTATTATTTAAAAACTACAACTAAAATGTTGTTTAAGTTTCATGTTGTATAATTTTTATGTTGGTTAATTTTATTTAATGTTGTTTCATATTGTTTAATGTTGTTTCATGTTACTTAATTTAATTTAGTTTCATGTTACTTAATTTAATTTAATGTTGTATAATGGCTTAGGAAGTTATAGGAAAAAAATAGAATTAAAAAAAAATATGAAACAAATTTTGTCAAATAGAAGTTATAGAAAAAAAATGGAATTTAAAAAAAATATATGAAACAAATTTTGTGAAATAGAAGTTATAGGAAAAAAATGGAATTTAAAAAACAATATGAAGTAAATTTTGTGAAATAGAAGTTATAGGAAAAAAAATATATGAAACAAATTTTGTGAAATAGAAGTTGTGAAATAGAAGTTATAGGAAAAAATAGAAGTTATATGAAAAATTTTGTAAATAAAAAAGAATAATAATAATGTAAAAAAAAAATCAAATCAAATGCAACGGCTAGTAGCCGTTTCATTTGATTTTTTTTTAAAACAATCCTGTCGGTTATAACCGACAGGAGTACACCATTATTTAGTATAATAAATAATAGCATGTATTCCTGTCGGTTATAACCGACAGGAATAACAAAACATTAAAAAAAAAATAGCCAGCCCGGGGCTGGCTGGTTGGCCGAAAGCAGCCAGCCCCTCCCAGATTCCAGAGCCCTCTGGCCTAGCCCTCGGTTGGAGACGGTTTTAGGGCTATTTTCGGCCCTCTGACCCTTTGGACCCTTCAGTTAAAGATGGCCTAATATATGTAACCGAAAGGTATGTGAGTTTCACATTCCAGTTAGTAAACCGATACCTGAAACACTTTAAACTAGATTTATTAGGGACTATAGTGATCCCATACTCATTCATTTTCTCTCTAAAGTGCTGCGTTCCCCCATTCACAACTTCTCACATTCTAAGTCTGTAAACGACGTCGTTATTGGAATTAACTTCATTTTTGGATTTGATTTTCCAGACTAGAGAAAGTGAACATAAAGAACAAGGGTATTGGGATCGCTAAAGTTCTCGGTGCCCTAATATGTATTGGTGGAGCTGTGTCATTGATCTTGTACAAAGGAATGCCACTAACCAACCAACATTCAGAATCCACACTTCAAATGCAAAACCATGCCAATACAATGGCGTTGTCATCAGCCAAGAAGAATGATAGGTGGGCTGTTGGTTCAGTATTTTTGGCATCAGGCTGCCTCTTGTGGTCTTCATGGTTCCTCATCCAAGCAAAGATCGGCCAGAGCTACCCTTTTCAGTACTCTAGCACCGCGATTTTGTCCTTCTTTGGCGCCATTCAATCTGCCATCTTGTGCTTCATCACGCAGAGGCACATTGTCATGTCAATGTGGATTCTCAAGGGAAAGTTGGAGATCTTAAGTGTCGTATATGCTGTGAGTATTTTCTTCTGCATCCACTATAATCCTCACCGTTCAAATATTTCTTAGCCAATGTAAGCTTGAACTTGTTAGGGTTTAATGGTATCTCCTTAGGTTTAGTGGTTTAGACATATACTCTAACAATTTAAGTTTATAGGGTTTAATGGTTGGTCTAACATGGTGTAATGGTTGCACCTATATGTTTGTCTCTCTCTTAGTCCGCCCCTCCATGTAAATGTTGAACATATGCATGAGGAGGGTGTAACCTAGGTTGCACGGACACTCCGAAACCCCGAAGTGTCGAGTGTCGACATGGCAATAGGTCTCGGACATGCCCTGGACATGGTTTTGACATAATCAAGTGGCAGGGGAACCTTTTGTAAATTTCAAAAACAGCTTGAGGCAATTTTGAAAATATAGAATCTAGAACCTAAAGGCTCCCTGACCTCAACCTTACTTCAGCCCTCTCTTTCTCTCTAATCTGGCCCCTCCCTCTTCAGTTCTCTTCCTCTCTTTCGAAGCGACCACGCCCCCTCTCCTCTCTTCAGTTCCTTAACTTCCTTTAGTCACTTTGTTCCGCATCCTATATGGACTTGCGCAACATCTAGCAACTAGTAGGCAACTAGTTGATTGGGCATTGTAGCAGTGCAGCAACACAGGAGCAACAGCGCAGGATGGGATCTCGCAGTACACATCTGAATTCCTATGTGCAGGACATAAACCCTTATGGACTCCAAAATTAAGCTTTGCATATTTTGATTGGATACATTTTTGATTGACTATTGTCTATTGCAAAGATAATAGACGTTGATTAATTTGATTGGGTGTGCATAATTTGAATTAGATGTTGCTTAATTTTGTTTACGGAAAATGAGTAGTGCTAATGAGGATTCATTTTTTCAAGCTCAATCCTATAACATTTTAATATATATAATATTTATTTATATTTTAACTTGTTGTGTTCTAGCTGTGTTAGTGTCCAAATTTTTTGAAATTTGACGTATTGTCGTGTCGACCTATCGCAATATTCGTATACATGTCTTTACAACCTAGGGTGTGACTTTCATATATAATATTGTTAGCTCATTTCCCGACAAGATTAAGTTTTTAAGTCCAGTGGTTGTTTAACAGTTAGTACATGGGTTGGATTATTTCCATCGATCTCATCAAGCATCCATTATCCATGCAAATGCTACGATCTAGAATATTATTTCAAGAACTAATTAGGGTTTCATGTGTATCGACATTGCAGGGAGTAATAGGATCAGGGTTGTGCTACGTAGGGATGTCATGGTGTGTGAAACAAAAGGGTGCACTCTTCACAGCAGCGTTTACCCCCGCCACCCAGATATTTGCGGTTATGTTGGACTTCTCTTTCTTGCATGAACAAATTTACCTCGGAAGGTAATTATTCACTCATTTATGTTTAATTTTGTATGTTTACATATAATTAATTTGATCATCTTCATATTCCAGTTGCTAATTAATGTTTGGGCTTATTTAATTTACCAGCGTGGTGGGATCTGTTATTGTCATAACTGGCATGTACATTTTACTGTGGGGTAAAAGCAAGGATCACAAGGAAATGGTGATCAAGCAGACACAAGCAGCTGATCAAGATCAAGAATGTGGTCCAATGCCACAAGGCATGCCCCTTGATGTAAATAAATAACGCTTCTAAAATGTTTAGATTTCACCGCACTGGTCAGATCAAATATTGTAAGCACGGCTAATTACCAATTGAATAAGAAGCAGAACTTTGCAACTTCCAAGAGTTCGTTTGGAATTTTTAAATGGTTGAAAGAGTTTTTGGAGTAAATTTGTTTAAAACCAATCCTTAGTAAAAAATGACAACGAATCCTGGAAAAGCCCTTGAAATGCTTCATGCAAGAAGCACATAACATTTTTAAAAACATTTTGGGGCAGTTTTGAAAATATAAAAACTAAAACCTAAAAGCTCCTTGACAGCAACCTAACTTCACTCTCCCTGAATTAAAATGGCTAAAAGTGTTTTTGGTGTAAATGTTTTTGAAACCAATCCTCGGTAGAAATGCAAGTGGATCTTGAAAAAACCCTTAACTTCAATTCCTTGACTTCTTTTTTTTTTTTTTTTTTTTTTTTTTTTTTTTTGAACGACTTCCTTGACTTCTTTTAGCCACTTGGTTTCACATCATATGTAGACTTGCGCATCATCTACGGCATTGCAGGAGTGCATCAACGCAGAAGTAGCAGCGCAGGACAGGATCTAGTACACATCCTAATTCTTATGCGCATGACATAAATCCTCATAGACTCCAAAATTAGGCATTTGCATATTTTGATTGGGCATTGCGTATTTTGATTGGATTTTGTGTATTTTGAATTTATGATTGATTATTGTTTATTGCAAAGATAATCGATGTGTTAGATTATTTAATATGGAGCTTTAATGAAAAGGGTTTGGGTCAACAAATATTTAATAAAAAATATCCCAAAATGTTATTTAACCAAAAGGGCTCAAATTTTAATAAAACATCATCCAAAACTATTGTCCACAAGTCAAACTTACAAGCCCAACCCGCTACAAATCTACGCTTCCGCGAATACCCCTAAATGATTCAATATTGTCATGACTCTTTATCAACCTTAACCCAGCCCGAAACCGCCATAATAACTCTCTATCTTCCTATCAAATCGAATTCCCCCATTTCAAAAACAGTCAAATCAAAGTTCAAATCAAAATTGAAAAAGGAAGCATTTATCGAAACAAAGCCGCCGAAACAAGTTCAAAGAAGTTTAATGGCGGAAACCAACAAAAAAATGTCTGGAAAAAAAAAAAAACCAAACATAAAAGTGTTTCTGGAGAACCCAAAACATAACACTGTTTATGAAAAAAAAAATCAGATACAATGTTTGTTTTGTCTGTGCACAAACAAACACTGTATCTAGAAAGAAAAGAACCAAAATTCAGAAACAGTGACTTAAATTCTAGAAACAATAACTTAAATTTCATAAACAGTGACTTAGATAGCAGAGACAGTGGCTTTGATTCCAGAAACAGTCTATGCTTTAACCTTTGACTGTTTCTTTTCTTTCATGCATCAGTTGATTATATTTAAGAAACAAGGTGCTTATTTTGCTTTGTATCCAAATACAGTGAATTTCACTATTTCTTTTCTAGCTTACATTTAAGACACAGTGTGTCTATGTCATTTAGATCCAGAAACAGTGTTACTTAAAATCCAGAAACAGTTTATTTTTACAGTCCAGAAACAGTGACCCGTCATTATTATTGAATAGCATGTAGATTTCAAATTTATTTTCTAGAGAAACCAGCAATGAACTCCACTGACGAAGAAAAATTGAAAAACAGTACCTCGAATACACTATAAATAATAATGACGATCACATTTCAACGAAATAATACAAAATATAAATTAAATAGCATGATGATCTATATTTTTGTTTCAAAGAAAAAGAAGGTTTGCAAAACAACGATGAACTCCATTAACGACAAAAATCTGGAACTCAACCTAAAAAAGTTAGGGGTAAAATTGACAAATCATAATTTATTATAGTTGGGCCATTTTTAGTTAGACTACTTTAATATGAGTCTTGTACTAATCATTAAACAAAACTTATAACATGGTTTTTTTATTAAAACTAAAACTTTTCAAGCTATTTTCATTAGTTTTCCTTGTTTAATATAAATCAACCTTTAAGTAGTCCACTACATGTAATAGGAATGTAATATTGGAGAATAATGTAGATTGTGATTTGATCTCTTAAGATATCAATCTTATATTAAGTGTCTTATAATATAAGTAGGATTGTTGGAGTCCTTAATTACTTGTGATTATGATACTTCTCTTGGTAGCTAAGAAAGTAGGATCATGTTTCCTTTATGGACGGAAATCCTAGCCTTTAGCTTGTATAAATACTAAGGTCCCTGCAAACCCCAGATACACAAAACATAATACTTTCCATAAAGTAGTTGTATCCGACTAGGTGTTTGTAGAAGATTTTGGTGCTATTGTAGCCTTCATCTTCCTTGTTCGACTTCCATGGTTACTATGGGAATTAGGTTTGCCATTCCTTCTATTGTGTTTTAATTATATAACTATATAAGGATAACAAGATGTTGATTAATTTGACTGGGTGTGCATAATTTGAAAAGATGTTGCTTAATTTTGTTTACGGAAAATGAGTAGAGCTAATGAAGGTTCATCTTCTCAAGCTCAACCCCATAACATTTTAATATATGTAATATTTATTATATTTTAATTGTCGTGTCCTAACTTGGTCCGTGTCCTTATTTTTTAAAATTTGTGGTATTGTCGTGTCGATGTGTCGATGTGTCCCAGTATTCGTGTCTGTGTCTGTGGAACATAAGGTGTAACTTTGATATATAATATTGTTAGCTCATTTCCAGACAAGATAAGCTTTTAAGTCGAGTGGTTGTTTAACAATTATGTTTAATTTTGTATGTTTACATATAATTAATTTTGATCATCTTCATATTAACCAGCTGCAAATTAATTTTTGGCCTTATTTAATTTACCAGCGTGGTGAGATCTGTTATTGTCATAACTGGCATGTACATTTTACTGTGGGGTAAAAGCAAGGATTAAAAGGAAATGGTGATCAAGCAGACACAAGTTGCTGATCAAGATCAAGGATGTGGTACATGCCACAAGGCATGCCCCTTGATGTAAATAAACAACCCTTCTGAAATGTTTTGATTTTAACTTTTTACCAAACTGGTCAGGTCAAATGCTGTAAGCACGGCTAACCGAGTGTTTGATGTTATGAGTAAGAGAGCACCATTTGGAGAAGTCGAGTTTTTTTTAGGGGTGGAGGGACTGGGCGCGGAGGATTTGGAAGAGGGGGTCGGAGAGCGGGAGGGTGTGGGGGTCCGGGAGGTTGCGGGTGCCTGAGGTTGAGAGGGTCTTGGTGATTGCGGCCACCAGGAGTATGTCTCCCAGCTGGGAAGCACTGTGGTGGTGGTGGTCTTTGACCAGGAAAGGCCTTCCATGGCGCATTGCATTTCCGAAAGCATACAGATTTTGAAAATTTCAGTTCACAACCGAGAACAAAATGCAGAAACTATATTAAAACTTGGAGTTGGGCTTGCACGTGGTTGGACGTTGCTTTTCTTGTTGTTAGCCAGACCCAGATTTTGGAATGATTGTTTTTGGTCCTCAGGCCTCTCCTCCCCCCATTTCACCCAAAATAATCCAAAAGATGTTTATTTGATATAAGAATGACAACGAAGATAAAAGAACGAATGGGCATAAGAATGAATGAAGATAAAAAGTAATGGATTGATATTTATCTGAGGTCATAGATAGTGATGCACTAATAGGAGTAGCAGCTTGGTAATTGATTCTTTGCTTAACTTTTATGTCAAAGTTGTAGAGAAAAGACATCTAAAAGGGATGAAAATATCATAAAAACTGCATGTTGGCTACGTCAAACTGTTGAAATGGTTGGTGTGAGAATTACTTGACACACAAATTAAACCCTCTTTTTGACAATTGTAGTATAGGTGTAAGTAGGGTATCGTTCTAGGCCGGGGATTAGGAGGGCTTGCTAAATCCTCTCAAAAAACATAAAAACAAAGTTATAAATGTAAATAAAAGACTTTAAAAGTAAAGGGGGATTTGGATTTGATGAATTTAGAAACAAAACATAAACTTTGGAAAACAAAACAAGTTTTAAAACGAATTTGGTTTAAATAAATGGATGGAAGGCTAGCTAAGGGGTTCTTCTCCACACATGTCTCGCTTGCATACAAAATGATTTCCAATTGCATTTCAATAACTTATTAATTCTCAATGCCCCAAGTTAATTAGGTACGCTTAAATTAACCCTCAGATTTTCCTACTTTTATTGAGTTGGATGATTGCATACGACAACCCAAAGCATTCTTCACAAGTTCCCTACATGAATTGCATAATAGAGATACAAGCAAGAATCATTAAGTTCTATGAAAATCATAAGCATTGACGAGGCATTCATAACTATGGAATACGCATGTTACTCTTGCCAAGATTTTACTTAACGCGATTGTGACTAGCAACCTTCACTACTTGTGAATATAAGTTCATGACAATTAGGTGAAACTCCCTTATATTCTAGCATCAAATTCATGCATGCAAACTAAGTGTCGACCCTCAATCAACATACATAAATCAGTTTTTTATACGAACGGATAAGTAAATTGAATTCATAACTTATGAAATGCAATTAAAAGTAATTAAATCATATTGCAAGCAAGGACATGTGTTTCGAATTCCCCCCTAGCTAAGGGGGGTTTAGTTCCTCATTATTACAAAACAAAGATAAACAAATTTAAACATTGAAAAACAAAGGAAAGAAAGCACCTAAACGTTCCAACGATCCATGTTGGATAGCAAGCGCGTCCAAGGACTTTTCTCCTTCTCTTTGCCGCAACAACAAGGTTGGAATGATGTTGAAGGGTTGGTTATTTTGAGGAATGGATGGGAAGGGGTTTAGATATGTAGGAGAGGCAAGGAAAGGCTTGGAGAATGGTTAATTTTTTGATGATTTGAATGAGGTTGCTACCATGGTATTTATAGGAAGAGGATGGACTTGTTTAACACAAAATTTTGGTGGAATTGAGTAGGTGAGCATGGCAAAGAGTGGGAATTGTTGGTGGGTTAGGTATTGAGTCATCCATTCACATGT